TTCTGGATTTGACATAGTGACATTAACGTGTCGTGACCAAGACCAACTCGAGATATCCTCATATCATCCGAGAGATAACACATGACTATAGCGGGGCGTGCAGATTTGCACCATTCGGGTCGTATCGCTAGATTAACCTCTCTCAAAGTCTTTGTCAATTTGGGGGCCTTTGATACATTAACAGGCGGAGGTAATTTTACACCATTTTTTGCTGCATTCTTCAGACACGCTTGGATATTTTTACTTTTCAGCAAATTCTCGCTATCGTTATTAACCAAAACCCAATTGACGTTAAAATCGTTAACAAGACTTAATAAAGCCAAGACGTCTTCTGCAGCGCGATTGATGTCTGGAGGTGCCAACGGTATTATAATCACTCCGAGAACCATGCATGCATACACCGTAGCTATAAGTTCAAGTCCATGTGGAAGGAGAACTAGCACATGTGTGCCTGCATTACAGCCTTTCTTTGCTAAATGAGTGGCAATCGTAACAATCCTGGCGTTAAATTTTTTCCAAGACACTGCCTTCCCCTCACGGTTGCGATTATCGACCGTTATATAAGCTGCATCATCTGGTGTCAACTGTGTACGCCACATGAGAATGCTAACAATGTCAGAGAATTTTAGTAAATCCACCTGAGTTTTATCGTCTGCGATTTTTATAGGATTCTCGATACCGGTAAATTGATGTCGTCTTGGTGCCGGACCATAATTCACCATTTGTCTAGAACTAGTGGCCTCTGTTTAAACAATACCTTGCATTAATATACAAAAATCGATTAAAACAAGAGACATGCAAGTTACGATGACTACTCACTCTCACTCCAGATTCCTCCGACCGCATCTTCTCCCATTGGAACGTTCTTTACGGATCTCTCCAAGTTGAACTTAAGATACAAAACTTTCAATCTTCCTTCTTCCAATCCTCTTCTGCAAAGCAATGGATTCACTAATTTCTTTCCATTTCTCCACGTTCTTGGTATTGAATCTACTGGACAGATCATAGTACAATATACTCTGAGCCCTTGATGCACATACAAAGTGTTTATCATTTGATCAGCAAGAGCGGGTAGTGCCCCTTTTTCCAGCGATGATTCAGCGATCAGCACAGGAAGATGTTCATCGTTCACATAAACTTCGGTAACCACACTAAAATATTCACGACGCAACATTAAACAAATGACTGTAAAAATGTCAATCACATTGCCATTATCGACTTACCATTCACGTATCCCATTAACAGAGGTCATGACAATATTTTGCAAGTCTTTTGTGAAAAAAAAGTTCCAAACTTCAGAAGCCGGATAAGATCTATTGGAATCAGGTTTTGGTTCTTCCGCAAGCTGTCTAATACGATCCTCGTAAAGGCCAAATCCAACCAACTGCCCTTCAATGAGTGTACCCAGAAGACCCGATCTCAGAAATTCTTGATTGAACAGCTCGGGTATTTTGGTCATCGCAGGAACCAGCAGAGGTCTTGCACGAAAGATCAACTCATTATCTTGCCGAAGTTGCCAGAAACCACCACTCAGACAAGGAGAATCAACCCAGATTTCTCCTACGGTATTTGGGAGGCAAAAGGCTGATGTCTCGGGGTCAACAATGGCAATAGTTGCTACGAAATAAATATAGTTAGCTCCAATCCGACATTTATATTCTAACCTTAACCTTTCGAATTACCTTCTGGCATAACAAAACCAAATGCTCCAACTCTGATCAACCCTTTCTCATTCTTTCTCGCAGGAACGGCATCTCCTGAAGCGACCACCACAACCTTGTTGTTTCTCAATGCTTCGCGATCAAGTAAAAATTCTCGGGTATGTCTTTGGCCCCGCAAACGTTCATCTAAACCTTCCACACCAATTAAATCTCCGAAACACAAGATCATCCCCCCGTATTCGGGTAAGCTGTTTAGAGGAGTAAGCACATCTCGAGGATATTGGATACCAAGAGGTTTAAGAAGACGGTCAACAATCTCATCATTCTTATCAACGTCAATAGTCAAAGTGTCAACAAGAAGCAGTCTTAAAGACGACAAATCTGCTGGATATTTTTTTGAAAAGTTTACTGTCGCAGCTGGATCATTCTTGAAAGACAAAACGACAGGTTGAAGACCTGGATAATCGGCCAGTGCAATGGTGACTAAAATATGACGACAGTCGAAGAGAATAATTAACGTATGAAATAAGCATTGCTCCTTATATAATACAAGCTTTCGTAGGTGCAAGTTGACCATTACCTTTATATCTAGAGACACAATTAACCCATAGTCCAGGCGTATCTGGAGCAAGACTCCCAAGGAAAACCGTCATGTTCCCACAATAAACTCCCCATAATGCGCCTAATATTAAACCGACTTGTTGTCGTGGATCTAAATGAGTCAGTAGCACATCTGACTGTTTGTTTCCTGCGTATGCTAAGGGATCCGCAACGTTTTCCATGTTTACTTGAAATTCCTTTTCGACTACTGCTCCTCTCATTACCAGACACTGTTGCATTATTGTCTTGTGGTTGATGACGACTCCTTTGAGCTCGCCGCTTGGACTCTTTGTAAATTCAATGTACGCCAATTCTGCATTACTAATGTGCATATGATCTTCCCTTTTCTTGGGATAATAACCTCCAATATCGTTTGTCTTTAACCATTCGACGCGACTGGGTAATTCCTTTTTCTGCGCGGCCAGATCCCTTACAAACACTTTAAGATTGTGGTCAGTTGTTAACGCTAATCGACATTGAGTATTATCGAGTATGTAAGTCAACTCTTCAAATTGTTCTGCTGCATTAATAGGTACAGCCACCTTTCCAGTAATGAAACAACTATAAAGAGCTACAATAAAATCCATTATTTCTGATTTACGATAAATAAGTGCTACGCGATCTTTCTCCCTCTGCCCGATTACTTTATTTAAAGTCATTGCTAATTTTTCTGCACGTGCGAATATTTTCTCCCATGGCCACGCAAAAATCTCTTTTCCCTTCTGATCCACCAACACAAACGCTGTCTTTTTTGGTGTCGTAAATGCACGATACTTTAAAACATAAGCAATGTTTGGAAATGACAACATTGGCTTTGTTGGATCAAGTGGATCACATATTTTAAATGGCACTTCACGTGGTTCGAACGGCATGAATTGTAGTCCGGCAAGTTTTGAGAGTTCTGGGTCATATGTTGGTGTCTCGGGTGATGGAGGTATTGAAACTTGTGAAAATCGTCTTTGTCGCTTGTGATATAATGAACCACGATGCGAAAGTCCTTGAACAAAATCACAATTTCGTTAGTTGGGGTAGGGAGGAAGGAAAACAAAAGACGGAAATGTTCATTCAAAAGCAAACCTCTTCCGATTTTCTCGTTTGTTGCACTGTAACCGTCTATTCTTGGACCGATATATGAAGGTGCTATAATGCTAGATCGAGTAGATCGAACGGATATGTTGTCGTCGAGCAATCTCGCCGCTTGTATTTGTAACCGCGATAATATTAGTAAAACTCAGGCATTATGTAGAACAACTAGGCTCTAACAATGCAACACCAATAGCAGAAGTGGTGAAACAACTTACAAAATTCACCATCATTACTCGAAGTATCTGACATCATTGAATTACGACCAACATAACCGAGCTTTATTCTACTGATAGGATCTTGAATCTTCATTCTTCCAGCAGCAATCATATAATCGTTGGAAGCATCAGTCTGTCCTTCAGCTTGAACGGGTCTACCCGGATATTGAAAACCATGCGAAGTTCCTGGAACCGAGGTATGCTGTCCCTGTCCGTAGTAAGCCTGTTGGGGTGGTAATTGGTGTATAGCAGGATGTACTGGATAGTTAAGGGAAAATCGACCTTGATTTTGAGAACCCATTTGGGGGACAAAATGGGGGGGTTGCGGTGGGAGTTGCGGTGGAGGTTGCGGTGGGAGTTGCGGTGGGGGTTGGGGTGGAGGTTGCGGTGAAGACGCGCGCGACCCGCCATGACCGTAATATTGTGTTGTCTGTGCTGTATAAGCATCCAAACTTTGAGGGTGATCACGCGGCCGAAGTCTTTCAAAATCCGGACTTCCTGATCTACTTATTGAGGTGCCAGGTGTATTTGGAATGACTGGGGCTGACGCCGAATGGGATAAATGATATAGATTATTATAAGACGGTTGTACTGATGGAGCAAGATTGTAAGAGAGAGGTGTGGATTGACTCGACGGGCCAGCAGCGTCTATTTGTGGTAGAGAGTTGGGATCAGCAATCGTGTTCCAGTAAGTAGCCAAAATCATGCTTCTCTTCTTCTCAAATCCCTTCTCGGTTATTTCTTCGTTAACTAGCTCCTGCTCTAGTAGCTTTAGTTTATTCTGGATGTCTGACGGCAGACTATTGATATCCAGATCGTAGTCCATGTCAAAGGGTTTAAGGTATATGCACTCGAATAACAAAATAAGTAGTCAATTTTATTGGCGAATTTGTTGATGCACGTTCCCTTCCTTTTCCCCCGAGTTTCGATTGTTGTGAAACATTCAATCTGAGACGGCTAGGTTAATTCTTACTCTGAAAGGTTCAGGCATATGTATTATGCATCACCAATTACTTATTTTGACAAATGCTTGGAAATGCCGCGAAGATGAACACAAGCAAACAGATCATTTATTTCCCTCCACGAATATGGAAAAGGATGAATAATAATAATAATAATAATTGATGTATAAAAAAAAATGATCTCGAAAAAAAAATTAGAAAGACAACGCCGAATTCACCTCTTATTGTAATTCGGCTATAACCCCAAAGAAACCCGCAGTCAGTTATTTAATTTGTAATTAAATACATCTATATGTAGATATTAAGTACACAGAAGAATTCCAGACCATTTGTTAAGTTTAGGCCAAAGTGATACATGACAAAATAAACGAGCAACAACACAAGCTTCTCATTTGCATATCAATATGTACTTTTTCACGCACAGTTGATACGTGCATTGGACCGAACGTCCAATTTGGTCCACTCATTCGCTTACGCTAGTTTCCTAGTCTGACAATAAACACCAATAATGTAACATACGTAGCGAAAGCCAATAGAGAAGTCAAAAGCACAAATCCTCCACCGGTTTCGAATGGTTTGGTAGTATCAAATATATCTCCATTTTTCCGTCGGCGCAAGGCAGCAATTGCAAGCATCAGAGCCCCGAAACCAACAAAGACGAGACCTATGTTGTAGAACGCTGGCTCGAATATGCGGAGGATAATCAACGCAAATCCGAATGCCGAGAGACAGGTTCTCCAATATGCGCCTTCAAAAGTTCGCTGGCGAGCTAGACGTGGGGAAAATCGAACAGAGCTGCGGTTAATGACCATTCGGAAATATGCATCCGATACATGTTGTTGGCTTACCTCTAAGGCATTGGAACAATTCCGAATAAAAATTTCATAAATATACAATACACACAGCAAGAAAGAGATAATAACAGTCAGAACGGGCATACACTAGCATTCGTTGTCTTTTTACTTTCTATTCTCATCGATAGTTAGTATTATTCTCTGCTCTTCACGACCACCCTTCTATCAAACAAGACTTTTTTGTTTTTACCTAATTTCCACAATCTCTTTTTCAGTAAGAGTCAGCGACTCTATTGTGACTGTAGGCATTTTTGGCTATCAAACGAGATGATTATTCATATAGCGCCGTGGAAAATGTGGGCTTTTTATTATTATCTTGTGACAGTGCCGGATTTGGGATACATTGTATGGAAATTATTAAGACATTGAGAAAGTTGAACAATAATAATAATATCCATTTATAGGTCAGAGAATTGTTGACGAATTGCTGGTCACCCGATAATGATGAGCTAAATTCTCATACGATTGCATCTCTGCTCACACTTTAGTAAACATGCCTTATCACGCCTTCCCAGTGCTCAAACAGCAGTTTTTAGTAGACACAAAGTACGAGTTCATACGTGAACTAGGTCAAGGTGCTTATGGTGTTGTCTGGTAAGTTATTAGCTGACACTCCCCGCAGCTCAGTACCGGTTTTTTCGATTTGCGAATGCATTAAATACGTAACTGACTGTAAAATATGTGTATTATGCATGGCTACCATATCCGTCATTGTATTCGCTTAAATAGTGCAGCAAAGAATACTGAAACCGGTGAACAAGTTGCTATCAAGAAAGTGACGAAAGTGTTCGAAAAGGATATACTAGCTAAGCGTGCGCTTAGAGAAGTAAAGCTATTGAAACATTTTAATGGCCATGACAATGTAATTATCTGAAAAAACTGTCATTACCATTCTCCAATGGTTGGATATAAATTTAATTTCCATTGCTGATTATTAATTATTTCAATGCCAGATAACGTCGATTCTGGATATGGATATACCTAATATTCATGACTATAGCGAAATGTAACGTACACGCCATCAGACCATGAGCGGTTTGACAGTGTTTGCATCACAAGTTACTGTTATAAAGATTCCTGCTTGGGTGTGTTGTGTGGTTGACAATTGTTGATTTAGTTCCATTCTTAAAACAGTTATCTGTTCCAAGAACTCATGGAAGCCGATCTTTATGCGATCATACGGTCGGAACAACAACTGACGGACGCTCACTTCCAATATTTTATATATCAGATCTGTCGAGGGTTAAAATATATTCATTCTGCTAATGTGTTACATAGAGATCTGAAACCCGGTAACTAATGCGCAATTCGTCTTTGGCCTGAGTAACTTGCGTTTACTGACTCTTTTTGTTTCCCAGGTAATTTACTAGTTAATGCAGACTGTGAATTAAAGGTTAGATTGTTTGGTGACGATGGAAAATGCTTATCATGTTAGAGTAATTGACAAGACATTATAATCTCCGAGCAGATATGTGATTTTGGCCTTGCACGTGGTTTCTCTGATGATCCAGAACATAATGCGGGTTTTATGACGGAATATGTTGCAACAAGATGGTATCGGGCACCAGAGATAATGCTTAGCTTTAAGAACTACACAAAAGCCAGTATGAACTGTTTCAAACGCCATAATACGTTCAAGTCACATTCGAAAATTGGGAATATTCATATATTTTTCTTCTTCTAGTTGACATGTGGTCCGTTGGATGTATTTTTGCTGAGATGCTTGGGGGGAAACCACTTTTCAGAGGTCGTGATTATGTTGATCAATTGAACAAGATATTAAATATATTGGGAACACCTGATGAAGAGACATTGTCAAGAGTTGGTAGTGAGAAAGTAAGTTTGGATTTACCTCGTTTCAATAGATTTGCACCATTTTTTTAATTCTTCCTCGAATTAGGCTCAAGAGTATATTCGCGGTTTACCCGAAATGCCGAAAAAGCCGTTTTCTCAGTTATATCCCCAGGCAAACCCATTAGGTAGGAAACACATGAGAAACATACATCATGTGCTGAAAGGATAAACTCATGTTTATTTTGTCTCGTGTAGCTCTTGACTTGTTGGAGAAACTTCTCAAGTTTGACCCTGCAACAAGGATTACGGTTGAAGGAGCTTTGGCGCATCGTTATCTGGCTGCGTACCATGACGAAGAAGACGAGGTTATTATTACATGTTTGGGAAAACTAATTAAACATAGGTTATTAAATATAAACTATTATCCTTGTCACAATACGTATATATATTTTTGTCCTTTCCCTTTTTAGCCTACGCATGAGCATATGTTTGATTTCTCATTTGAAAGCGTGAATTCAATAGACGAAATGAAGAGTAAGCTGTTGACTAGTTCTATGACACTGTTTTCCGGCTCGCATATGTTTACTAATTATACACTATCACTCTGCTTAGCGATGATTGCTCAGGAAGTAATGTCATTCAAAGCGTCAAAACAGGCGGCAATGGCCCAAAATGGACCTCCATTGGGAAACAGACTTAAGTATTTACATTGATTTCCTATCGTCTATGTATTATCAAAGTGTGTATATTCTTATTCTTAAATACAGTAAAACTAATATTGTTCAAATTATCAGCTTGCCAAGCCCCAGTCAGAATAATCCTATGTACGACTATCAGGATGTTGTCCATCACGAATCTGAATCAATACCTACTGACATGGAAATTGACAAAGAACAATTGGAGAAAGAACTCGGTGGATATTAACAGATAACTAATACTTTGGTGTGAACATAATAGTGTCTCAATGTATATTTCGTATTTCTATTTAAAATGCTTCTATAACAGAATAAAGAAAGCTAATAGTATAGACATTTAAGCTTCTGTTATATGTAATCATTTAACAACTACTACTTAATTCTTTAGTCGAACGTTGAGAAGAGATGTACGGATTGATGGAAGCGTATTTGGAGTAATACGGAATTGACAGCACGAACAGAATAAGGATTCCTTTATCTGTGGTACTATACTTCACAACAAAAGCAAGGGGATGAAAGAGACAGGAATAAATAAGATAGAGAACAAAAGTAAAAATAATATATAATATATGTTCAAAAATCTTCAGCATTTGTGATAGATTTCCAAGCCTATGTCGTATACATGGCCTATGAAAAAAGCTGCCGTTAATAACCACATCGCACCTTTTGCAAATATTGGGCGCTATTTTCAGGACACCTACTTCAACACCACCGCTCAATTCTCTTTCCAAATCTTCGCTTATTCCTGCCGCGGGTGGTCGATATTGATCAAATCCACGTACGAAGGCGTCTGCATCACGTACGGCCGTCGGTGAATTGAGAATAGTATCACGATCAGGAATTTTTGTCAGGTTTGCTTTCTGCTGTTGACCAGTAGCAACCGTCAGCTGAGCTGCATGTTGACGTCGCACCACGGCCCGGAAATTGGCTACTTCATGAGCTATCATCACTATAAAATTCATTGAATATAATTAGTGCTGTGAAAATACGATAAACTACACGTTGAAAAGAATCTAGTGTGAGCTATGACATGATATGGGAACCTCATAAAAAAAGTATAGTTAAAAGCAATGTCGCAACCACATTAAGGACCAGATTGATCATGTACAATTATATCAAACCTACGCTAAAGCATCCAAACTATTAAAGACTGCTAGTCATGAAAAAAGATCCTCAAAAGTAATGCTCCCAACAATAAATACTGTTTCGACAATCTAGTTCCACAAAAACACGTACCTTTCATCGCCTCAGGATCATTTATAGCCTCAAACGAGAAATCAAAATGTGAATGGCAAACTGGCTGTCAATGTTAAGAGACAAGACATTATTATCGAGGTACTGACATGCATGAAAATAATGTAAACCAGCAATGACACCAATTGTATTAACCTCATCATTCGGATCATGCCAGACGGCTAAATACGGATGTTCCAAAGCTTCCTCCACCGTTATGCGCTCAGAGGGATCAAAGCTTAATAATCGCTCAAGCAGATCAATTGCTGTTTTAGACAATGTGTTAGCTGTCGTTTTGTACGAGATATGCACACCAACGCAATCACCTACTCACCTAGAGGGTTGGCATTGGGATACATTTGTTGAAATGGCCTCTTTGCCATAGGCGGTAGACTGCGGATATAATCCTGAGCCTACGTTATAAACAATTAGTCTTGCTAGAATCAATTCAAGTGAACAGAAAATCTATTAATTTACCCTGGCGCCACCAATCCTTTGAAGAGTCGTTTCATTCGGCGTTCCTAGAGTTTGAAGAATTTTGTTCAATTGATCCACGACTATGATAATAACGTTGCACATGTAAGTTTAATGTTTGAGTGAAAATCTGCGTAAACAGATCATGTGGTATAAAAAGGTTTATCAGTTTCAAGGATACAATCTCTTCCTTTAAAGAGTGGTAGGCCGCCTAATAGTTCGGCCAAGATGCATCCAACTGACCAGAGATCGACTAGGAATAAATACGTAAAAAATAGAGACGCAAGCATTCATTAATTTGCCCACCAACAGACAATGTGAATTAATATAGAAACTGTTCTTACTTGCTTTAGTGTAACTCTGAAAACTTAACATGATCTCTGGGGCTCTATACCATCTCGTAGCAACATATTCGGTCATAAATCCGGAATCTGCCTCTGGATTTTCAGAAAATCCTCGTGCAAGACCGAAATCACATATTTTGAGCTCGCAGTCAGCATTCACAAGAAGATTTCCTATAACATAATGAGAAATAATTAGTAGGCTAATGATTGCAGTATAACGCGATACAAGACGTAAAGTACAAAGCATGTCTACTAACCAGGTTTAAGATCTCGATGCAATACGTTAGCAGAATGAATATATTTCAAGCCACAAAGTATCTGATAAACAAAGCTTTGATAATGAGCATCAGTCAACGGTTGACCTGATCGGATGATGGCGTGCAAGTCGGCTTCCATGAGTTCCTCATAAAGATATCTGGGGAGAAAAAAGTCAATATCAAATCATTTATGACAAGTCTTCATTCAGAAATCCGTGCCAAGAAAAAGTATAGGAATGTCGTAATTACACTTCATTATAATTGTATGGGTCGATTATATCCATATCGTAAAGGCATGTGATCTGTCAGATTGTAGAAAGGTTGAGATTCCATATCGCATAAACAGAGCATAGCATGCACGATAACGACCATTAATCATGCGGAGATCATTCTGTCGAAAAACAATAGCTTACATTCTTGTGGCCTCTGAAATGCTGCAAGAGCTTGACTTCACGGAGAGCACGTTTGGTAAGTATAGTCTTACTAAAGACATTCGTTACTTTCTTTATAGCAACACCCTGTCCCGTCTCTGTATTACGCGCAGCGCTATGCCATCACAAGAATAATAATCAAGTGGGGGACGGTTGTGAATTAATGTCCGAAAAAAAGAAAGGTATGAGAGTAGACCATGGACACAAATATGGTTAATTACCGACATACAAAAGACAAGGTGACTGTAACAACTGTAAAGAAAACGTCATTACCATACAACACCATATGCACCTTGACCCAACTCACGTACGAATTCATACTTGTCGTCAACAATGAATTGTTGTTTAAGACCAGGGAAAGTATACCTTCCCATGGTTGGCAACCTTTTTCTTTATTCTATTGTCACTTTAAATAACAAAAACTATGCCCGCTGGTGAGGCTATTTTCAAAGTTTGTTGAAAGGATATCAGGCATTACCATACTAGTGTATCTGTGGACATAAACCAGAAAATTGATTATGACGCCACGACTTCATGTAGTACGAAATTGTAAGCCACACAATAGAAAAACTCTTTGGGCGTAATAGTACTGCGTATTGTACCGGGTAATGCGCGCGAAAAAGGGGATTCACTGAACCTTTTACAGAACGATATAAAGGTTGGTTAGTCGATTTGACCGTTTAATGCAGGGGTATTTTATACAAACGATCCTCTGCTGCATTTGGAGGATACAAATGCATATAGAGTATGCATTGAATTGGCACGAGTTGAGAGCTTTGCATAGAATGTTTTTATATTACCATTCACTCATGACATTAAGCAGTTCCCTGCTACGATTTATGTTGAATGCCGCGATGAATAATCAGGATGCTAGTTGACAACGGCTTGCTAACTTTTGCTACACGACTTTGATGCATTATGAATAATTTATTGGAACGCCTACGGAAAGGGTTTGGCTATACCAGTATTTCTGTCATTATAGACAGAAAATTATTCTCTACCGCGGTCATTAACGTTACTCGTTTCTCATTGATGTTGAGACGCCTGATCGTGCATATTATCAATTCCAACCAATATTATACTCTATAATCTAATTACCATTTCTAACAGCTTTATAAATTTTAGAAACGTACAATGATATTTTCTCAATTAATGATATAAACACCCCATCTACTGAGTAAAATATTCAAAAGGTTGACTCTATCAATCGTATTGCAAACAAGAAGCAAATAATATAACCATAATAAAACTTGATTCATATTTAACTAGTTAAAAATAATACACGCTTTTAACGACAATTATTAGATAAACGCGATCGGATGCATTACCAATTTACATCCAACACATAATAATAATAGACTTTACTTAATTAACGTTATACTGTATGTTGTAACCTTTTGCAGACCGGTATATGGATTGTGGCTACTGACTCGGATGTTAACTCGACGAAACTCATAAAGGCTTAAACAATTATGTGCAGTATATAAAAGCATATAAACAAATATAATAGATCGAAAATGCGTCATTTGTTCAGCTCATTGGGATTACAAAACTAAGAACGAGTAACACTGTTGGCTTAGTAAATTTGGATTAAAGGGGTACATATTAATATGTATTTCTAGTAGACCAAACATGATTTGGTTCAAAAAAGTTTTCGTCTTAAATAGGTTCGATTAACACGTTGACTTTGTATCAAGAAGACGTAACTGCGAACAATGGTAATTAGTTAAACCATTACTATTACCCATAATCGTTGTAAAAAGATTTATTATTATCGTGCACTGTATTTGAGAATAGTGTTTCGTAGATGAGAAACGTGATACGTCCGAATGTGCAAGTCAACAATTGCAGGAGAGCAATCAATCGATGACAAGCGGAGCTGTAAAGTGACACTTATGCGACTCCTTGTGTTGAAAATAGCGTCCTGCTTTTCAGCGAGGATTTATATTACATTAGTAAACATTAGATTTATATATGAAGCAATGTCAAAAGAGAGATGGTTTTATTATTTGCAAAATCCGTCTTTCAACTTTTTCTTGACTTCATTTGTACCCTTGTTTCCTGTGGCAGTCAGGAAAATACATTAACTTCTCAATCTCCTTTATATTTAGACCACCAAAATTGTTAACAGTAATTTTATTACTGTATTACTCTCGTCTCAAAGCCCGACAATAGAAACCATGAGTCGTACTCGTACGTACAGTGTGTTAAGAAAAAAATTGGCCTCTGGACACGTAAAACTTAAAACGCGTTCTTTCCATATTGAGTATAATAAACGCGTCAGAAAACAAAAACAAACCATAAGACTTGCATTTGGTTTCAATTTGAGCCCTTAAACTTTATTCTTTGTCCGTTAAAGATGACTGAAAACAAGCTTAATTCTCAACGCCAAATACTTGTGCATTTTTGGAATAATGAAGTCCGATCTCAAACAGAACTCCACAAAATTACCTTTCAACAATTAAGTATAATATTGGAAAATTAAAAAAAAACTGGTAATGTTATGCATAGACGAGGTAATGTACGTCGAAAGAAGATAGAGTCTAATAATTACGTGAGCTTAAGCGATAAATTTGTAAAGATAATTCTGTAACCTTGGCCACCAAACTTTCTGGGGATGGAGTTGGAGTATCACATGTAACAGTTGAAGCACTTTTAAGAGAGCTTGGTTATAAAAGTGGCCTTCCAAATGGCACACTAATGTTAACAGCTGACCAAAATGCAAACCGAGTTGCATGGGCCACAAATCACTTAAATGACCAATGGGAAAAAACCTTATTAACTGTTCAGTATCAGTTTGGTATAAAGGTCCATAGACCAATACGCCACTTTCTAAAAAGTTTTTGCCTGGGGTGGTTATTTCATCAATGCGTGACCGTTGTCAGCAAGTAATAGACAATAATGGCGAACAAATTAATTACTAATAAAGTATGTTTTTATACTGGTAAAAACCTCGCTTTATAGATTTCGAATAAGCCATTCCATGTTAAAATCGAAGCAGTTTCTATGAAGCTATTGCAGAGGTCAATTTTTTCTAAACGTATTCGTAAAAAACATTTCAAGCATAGGCAGATGTTTGACGTTACAACATGTTTTGTCATCCTGCCTTTTTTTATTCAAATAAAGTCTAGATGCTTGGGTTTCTTACCTTACCGTGGCTGATCAAGTCTTTCCGTGATACTCGAAATCCCGTTATATCGCAGTACTGTTCCCGCCCAACAAATTGTCTAGTTGGATGTTCATGCAAAAAGGCATTTTTGGACAAAGTTTGACAATCTATCTGATAAACAGTCTGGTATCTTGTAAATATAAGCGCTTCACTTTGTATAGAATTGTCTGCATGCGACCCAAAAAAAAGAAACATGTAACAGATTGCCCTCTCTTAACGCCATCAATAACTACACGACCAATATTAGAGCTTTCAAAAAGTTTAGCATGCTCTCCTCTCCTCTGTTAGCTATAATTTTATCTCTTGAATGTGTAAAGTTCGTACAACTAGCCGCGTTTTCTGATGCTCGAGTAAGATTACGGATTTGTCAGTGACAACACGAACAAAAAAATCAATATTGTTAACAAGAACTTTGGTTTCGCGTATTGGTGTCATTGATGTGGCGTTAGCCCCTGAATTGTTTAATTTGTGACATCATGTTCACTTGGTTTTTTGTCACAGCAGTACCCCTTTATAAAAATAGTCTTTTCCTCACCAGGTGCACGCCAGCTTGCCTTAGTAATGACCAGTGATGAGACTGGTAACCAGCTTGGTATGTATTGTTTGTTGTTACAATTTATAACGTCACGTCGAGAGCATTCGTATCGTTAACTGTGTTTACTATCTGCCTATTTACATTTCTGACTCCATTCAGCTGGATTGGACAATGCATCAGACGAAAACTCTGCCTACGCAACTCTACCATCTAACCCATTAGAGAGCACAAATAAAGGTATGCATCTTTTCTACTTCCCTCTTCACCTCCTTTCATTAGGCCAGGTGCATCAAGTGTATTTTCCCCTCCACATTACCCGAGCCAAACCAATACCTGCCATATGGAGGGAGTCTTCCAAGTTCACGGACAACTTTTGGTTTTGTCTTTTCGCATAGCCAACAAAGTGAAACGATCTCCCTTTCATAATCTGCAAGGGGATCAAAATTGGTTATCTTTGGTATCCGCGGCTACTTTAAATATTTTTAAAGACAAGGACGATTGGAGAGAGGTCAGCAATACTACGTTGTTATCTCCCGAAGAATCAATAAGCAATTACTCCTCGTGGAAGGATATGAAGATATCTAACCCGGATGAAGAACGTATGATATATGAGAATCGCACACACTTGATGACACCAAATACAAACAGTATATTGAAAGAAACAAGACAAGCTGACGAAGGGTTTGCTTGTTATTTTGAACTATGTTCCTTATTCATTAAATATAGTCGAAAACGACGACGACGACGAGGATGAGGCTATGCCTACTACATCCAGATTGGACTACAACGATATCCTTATAATGCAAGAGTCGTAGATTAGAACAAGGCAAAGAGGGAACAAGTGGAAGAAATAATGGATAATATCAAAAACCAATAGACTACTATAATGAAATTATTCAGCATAATGCCCACGGTAGATTTGCTTCCTTAACAATTGAATACAAATGAAAATATATGGGTTTAAGCCTTTGATCGATGAATCCGCTGTGGTTAATTGTAATGACTGTTCCAAGAAAATATTACCGCGTGGTTATACTGAGCATTTGGGTACGCTTTTACTGATTATAATAAGAGTTGTGATACTTGTTAAAAATCTACCAGTTATTGCAAAGACATAGAAGCACGTACGATGTCATTACATGTAGTATTCACGCGTATACTAATAAAAGAATCTTTTTTACGTAAAAAAAGAAAATTGCGAGAAAATAAAAGAGCGTTCCAAAGAGCCTCCTATTAAAATTGAAGCCAGCGACACGGCTGCCGTTGATAAGAATCACGCGGATATATCGACTGATTCACACGTCAAAACCGAACTTGTTGGATCTGAAGGTAACTCAGAATATTTATATTAATCGTGATATTTCTATTTACTGACTGTCTACATGTACGGCCATAGAAACGATCACTTCTTCGGCATCTCCAAAACAACTAGTATCCACGCCCGCATCGACATCATCGATACCAGCAAAAAGACAAACCTCATCACCGGCTGCAGGGAAATCTTCCAATGAAAAAAAGCAAAAGGTGAAAAAGAATCCGACAGAGAAGAAAAAGGGCAATAACAGAAACAAAGGTAATGAACTACTTACTCATGAGTTATTTTTTTTGCCCTGAGTAATTGGTTTAATATCGACTCTATATTTGCTTCGTTGCCAGGCCCAATTGACTTGGACAGACAATGCGGTGTTTTAATGCAACCAAATAACACACCTTGCACGAGATCTCTTACTTGTAAGAGCCATTCAATGTCATTGAAGCGTGGCGTTGCAGGTCGCTCAAGGATGTTTGACGACTTGCTTCAGGCATATCAAAAGAAATCTATTGGGCGTCCGTTAAGTAATACATTTTTTCAAGTTCTTATACATCTGGTCATTATTGTCTATAGCATAGTTTAATCCATCATTCCCGTCCATACATTTAAATTCTCTCACCACTAATACAAGCCGGCAACCAAGCTAATTCGAAATCGGATAATAAAAAAGATGGTAAACCGGACGCGGAAGTGGTGGAGGAAATTGTGAATTCGGAAGAAGAAGTCGACGCGGTAATAGAGGCGATCATGTCGAGTACTGTTCAACCTCTTGCAGCGCGACAGTCAACTTACGTATCACGGACACATACAAGTTATTTTTTATATCAGGACGTGTCTGCAGAAAATGTTGCCAAAGCAGTTTGGTAAATTGGTAACATAACGTAGACACAATGCATGAAAGAAAAAGTATATGGAAATGTATTAGTATCAATTATCATTACAATGTTGAGATTTGAGTAGTATTCTTATTTGTTTATGAATTAGTTTGTGCTCCTGCGAGCATTAATATGTATGATGAATGATTGAGGAATAGACAGCAAAAATCCTTAGGCTTGTAATAAATAGATAATAACTAGTGTAGTTAACTTGATGACATTCAAGCATCTGCAGTTGCTAGCTTGTGAGCGGCACACGCACATCATAACAAAATTGCATTCATATGACGTCTCAGTACGATATAATTTTAATTCTTGGACAATATAAAGTTTCACTTGCATTGAAACCACAATATACAGATCTCTGGAAGTCCAGCAATTGATATACAAATAACACGCGTTGTGCGCATATCAGTGTGCGGAAACAAGATTAAAGTTAACCATCGGTTCAGTTTGCTGCTATCTTTTAATCGCTATTTAATACAGATCAGTATTATCATTATCACACGTGTATATAATAATAAGCCATTACAACTCTACAATTATTGTTATTGTTATTGTTATTGTTATTGTTATTGTTATTGTTATTGTTATTGTTATTGTTATTGTTATTGCCTGTTAAGAGTCCGCTATTGCTATTGTGATGTCCCGTTTTTCTTTTGCTGCATCATAGCATGACTATTATGGAATTATAAATGTCTTACGTACACAGTAATAATAAAATCCATCTTGTTCATATCATCCTCCTGTTTTATCATGTCTAATAAGTGATTAGATTTAGTCAGACTTCATAAAATCAGATGCGACTACACCGGAGTCGAACCATTCACAATCTTGGTAACTCACAGGTGATTCGTTTTACGCAAGCACTCATAACGTCGCGATTAAAAAGACAAACTTTGACTAACCTGCCACGTCCGACATGTAGCGGTCGTTGAATTATGTCTCAGGTCAATCATATCGTAATGAAGAAATTCTCGTTGATTTATTAAGTAATAACAATAATGATAACTTCCTCTTTTACCGAAACCTGCATCTCTATTATTCAGGACTTCTTCTTTTATTCTCGGTTATATACAATTAAATATTCAACAGAAAGAATAATTTAAGGAAAAATAAACGTTTTTATTATTCATGAAACTAATTACGACATGTACGAATGGAACTCCTGTCACTTTTCGGAGCCAGTTCTCGAGATCGTCTGCAATGTAGTATTTAATGCTCCTACAATCATAACGGACCGCTCCGGCTTTCCGCAGCAGTCTCGGCTCGGTGTTTCCTACAAAAATATGGCGAAGCATACTGTTTACTAAATTTGCTAATTTTTCTCTTCAATGTTATACCACTCTTCTGCCGGTGCTGCAAACAATTATGGTTCATTTGAGTTTTTTTCACGTCTTCTCGTTTTTGAGTTATCCCATCAATGTTCTATAGGGTTGAGATCCAAATTGATAACTGTAAACAGTTCTCACTTGTTTTTAGGTCTCAGCTTATGTGCTCTGACTCTTCTGTCTAATTCATCCCACAAATTTTCGATTGGGTTTAAATCAGGACTTTGAGCAGGCCGGGGAAGACCATTAATAGAATTATCCTCTTTCCAAGTTCTGGTTGACCTCACTGTGTGCGCTGGAACGTTGTCATTCTCGGGGACTTTGTGGGGGCCATGGAAGAGTCATTATTCTCTTTAAACTGATCTACTTCTGCTGTCCGATGCGGCCTTTCATTATCATCTTGAAAAATCCATACTCTCCATAAACGGAAGAAACTGGCTTGTCGCAACACTCATCTTGCGAAGAAGAGACGTTTTTTTTCTGTTGCGCTCTGTAACAAGAGGCTTTCGTTTGCCTACGCGAGACCTACATTTTCTTGATATTTTCTTTTCTTTGACATATCTCTCTCTAATTCAGCAAAAAAAGGACCCACCGTTAGTGGTCCCGCTTACGTTCCTATGGTTGGTCTTTCATACAGAGCTCTGCGAACAGTACTTTCACTTCCCCGCTTTGGTAAAGTATGCTTTAGTTCCGTGCAACTGTTCCTCTTCTGTTTTTGTTGGTTACGCGCACCAGCGAACGTCCCTTTCAGAAGTATACTGGGTCTTCCACTTCTTTGTTTACTCTTAACTGTATTTTCACTATTGAACTTTATGATAACGTTTCGGACTGTCATATCTGGGATTCCTAGCTTTCTACTAATTTCCGATGATTTTGTAAGCTCCAATAATCTCTGCACGTTTAATTGAATCGCGAAAAATAGTGTGCATTTTGGTTGTGATCAGCACTTTTATTTTTGGTAAGTATAAAGTAGTACTACCGTTCGATCATGGAATTTTCTTGAACTTACTGCGGTTGTTTCCTGCCATTACCACGAACACCTATTTTGCAAAGTTAAACTTACAACGAATCCTTATCAAACGTGTCTCAATATAGTCTCTATTAAAAAAAAATTCCACTTAATTCAACCTATTAGAAAGTTACAATCTTTGTCATGTGCGAAAGCACCGCTCAAACATCGTTCCCTCCACTATTTTTTTTCTAAAAAAAATTAAACACATGACAAATCTTCATCACGTGCGAAGCACTGTCTCTATATCATTCTAGTTATTACTTGAAACTTTCCATAAAACTAACTCTCCGTTTGATTCATTAGAAGATACACCGCCACATGAACATATTTTCACAAAAATAAGCAATATAGATGTCGATGAATTATCAAACGACGACCCACTATGTATTGGAGTAATCGATCTTAGTTCAGACAAATATAATAATAATATTCCGGAGAGTGATTACGAATCTCTTGTTGTACGTATGTTTTTCTTTACGAAGTGAACGTTATTGGTTCTGAGATCGGAGTAACAGATAAGACTTTTGTGTGGGTCTTGTATTAGCGGAGTTGGCACGGCTAAAGATAATTGCTTATCATCTATTAATCTTAATAGGGTGAGAAGGCTAATATAAGAAATTTGAGCAAAGATGTCGTGGTAAAGAATATATGTAACGATTTTATATCAAAGAGGAACGACGTTCAGAAATTGCGGAAATTTGTATTGCCTTCGAGGGACGTAGTGACGCACGATCAATGGGTTGAGGACGATCACATTAAGGAACGCATAGCACGCGGAATTACCGATGTTCTTTTGCAAGAAATTAAGTTGAATGCCCTCCGAAGAGTTTCCAGAGGTTCAGAAAACACACTAGTGGAAATTATCGTTCGTTTGATAGATATGGCTATGCATCACTTACCTGTGGATTATGAGGTCGAAGTTACTAGGGCCGAACGTCAAAGTACAGCTAGTAAAAATCGCAAAGCTCAGCAAAAAAGTGGATCAAGAGGGGATAAACCCGATCTCATGTTCCGTGCTCACCTTCGTCAAAAATGGGAAGAAATTGTGTTCTTCGAAAGTGGAAAGTGGGATGCCAATGAAGATAAGATTTGCCACGACCATAATAAATTAGTGCAACTCTGTTTGGACGGATCTAAAGAGCTTGTGAAAAAATGTTCAAAAGAAACCTTTTACCAAAGTTATATAGGGTTTAGTGTTAATATTGCAGGTAAGTATATTGAGATCCATGGATTGATAAGGAAAAAGGGGTGAAGTACCATCTCCCAGTCGTTAAAGCGAAAATACCTTTGGGTAAAGAATCGGTTGAGGAAGTAGAAGAGTTTGTTCATGCCCTATTGACTTTGCGAGTAAGTATTCAACTATGTTATATGAATTTCTGTATATTCGTCGTATTATGTTACTTATGCAAAATGATCTATGATCTCAGACTGGAGTTATTGTAAATTTACAGAGTATTGTGAACGGTTTTAAAAAAAGATCGAGAAAACGAGTGATATAAGCCCCCCTCCACGTGAAGTTGATAAATTAAACAAGAAAAGGAGCTCAAATTTCTAGAATAACCCATATTTCTGTCTTGTACTTTATTTCTCATATCAATAAAGCTGGCCCTGGTGGTTGAATTATCTGTGTGCGATTTTTTTCTTCTTCTGGTAATTACGCACACGAACTTCCCGATCTTATGTGATTGGTTAATAATTTTTCGATGGTCAACATGCAGGAGGCTGGCGAAATAGATTGATCGGGTAATCGTCTACATATCCTTACCGATTATATATCTATACAAAACATGCAGTGTCAGAAGTTGAATTAACAAATCTACGTTATCTGGCCGTAAACTAATTTACCTTTTCTGTTTCCTGCAATGCTAATAATTTTTTTCATACCATCCTTCAGTCATAGATCCTAGAAGATAATTAAAAGTAATATGACTATATATTTGATATATCAACTTTTCTGGCTTCGGACATATATGGAAAGACAGGATGAAATGTATTATGTGCATTCGTAAATTAATGAAATACTGTAGTAATAACCGTATGAGGCTGAATATCTGTATATATGAATCTTTTTTAAGAAAATATATTACCACATTGATTTTGATTGATTCTGAGATTTTAGATCCTTTTTGCTATAGCAGTCGAATGACGATACATCTTCCAGAGTACGCGACTCCATAAGTCTTGGACAGGTCATGCCAGTCGGTTGACATAGGAAGGATGTGAAGGCAGTCGCAACCGCAACCACCAAAAGAGTGGAAGTTATCAAGCAAACAAATTCCAGAAAGTATATGTACTCCCGAAATTTGCCCTCAAGATACACAAGTTACGACGACCCTCGCCACTCTCTTTTAATCGATACATCTTCCAGAGTACGCGACTCCATAAGTCTTGGACAGGTTATGCCAGTCGGTTGACATAGGAAAGATGTGAAGGCAGTCGCAACCGCAACCACAGAAAGAGTGGAAGTTATCAAGCAAATAAATTCCAAAAGACGACTGATGGGATTTACCCTCAAGATACACAAGTTACAACTACCCTCGATTAAAAGGCTTAGAATACGCGTTTTGTTTTTGGAATTATTAAATAATATACTCGGAAAATTATGGATGGGTTGGCCAGTTTTCGGATGGATTCGGAATAATAATAACTTTTGATTGGCTCAATTAAATTTATTTTGATCTGAACCAAACGCGCCCATATGGTTAGACGCGCGGTCGGCGAAAGCGGTATAGAATTTAAAAATGACTCGCTCGAAAAAAAAACCATCAGTATTCGCAAAAAAGATGCAAAGTTTTGTGGCACCGAAAAATCCAAATCATGACTCCTATGTTACTACGAGGCCATTGAAAGAATGGCATTTAATAAACGCCTACGTTTGTAACTTGTTAAAGACAAAACCGATTCTGTCAGAAAATGATCTCTTTGGAATCGCCTGCCAGAGTTTACAATCACTATCGAATGATGATTCAAATTGGCCTAAATACGTATCTGAGTATGCTTCCAAATTACTTGCAAAATGGAAAGGACCTGGAAGAGAACACTGGTTTGAAATTGCCAAAAAAGCTATTCAACGTATGTGTGACGATGAAACGATCGAAGCGAATAAAGCTGAAATTCGACAGAAAGAAGTAATACAATATCAGCGAACTACTACTTCTGCAATTGAACTCGTCACCACTAAGATCGATAAATTACCACGCAAACATGTTCTAGATGCAGATGACTATAAAAAAAGGAATACCGAAGGAGCTACAATTCCGGCAAAAAAGGTAACTCTATTAACGTATTAATTCCTTTCAATGGGTAACAGACGTAAAAAATTTATTATAAAAAAATAACCAATTGCCTTTAATCAAGTGCAAAACTGAATTCGAAAAAAGAACGAGAAGTGGAAGAGTTGCTGTACCTGATTATCGTGAATTGGTTGAAGAAGCAACAACAGACGAGGATGAACAGGGATCTACAGATCAAAAAAGCATCGAGGAAACAGAGGCTGAGAAGGGATTAACAATCAATCCTCTTGAAAATTTCTCTCAAGAAAATGAGGAGAGAAAAACTATTCCGAATGATATTGTAAGTAATTATCTGATAATACATCCTAAGCCAACGGATTTTTAACTGTTGATTATTTTTGTACCAGATAACGAATATTCTAGGAAAATCTGTTAAATACTCAAATACAACAAAAAAAATTTTTTTGATTTATAAAGAGCAAAGCCCTAATAGTGATCTAATTGACCTCCGGCTGAATTCGCCTTTTTTAAAAAAACTCCCAAGACAAATAGCGACATCATATCTGACAGAAACGGATAATATTACAGAATCATTAGTTCCCAAAAATTTTCATGAATTCCCAAAAATGTTCATGAATTTCTTGTAAAATTTTTTTCACAAAAATTGTCAGCAAAGGAGTGGCGTTACCGAATTGACAATTTAAGAGCACCAGAAAATGATTTTATATTGAACACAGTAGTTCGAGTTCTGCGACATACGTTGCCACAATTGTATGTAGCACTGTTATATTGATTTATTTTCTTTCAGATTGTTTTCTAAATACTTCTTTCTTGTAGTATTAAGGCGTTTTCACTGGAAGAGCAAAACCCACTCTTTAATGTTACTACCTTAGAACATGCACATCTTAATGCATTCGTCCATCCATGTATTGACACTTTTTTGTGGTACATCGCAGACATACATTACGAATATGGTGAGATCTCGTCAAAAAATCATATTAATCGCAACCGAGCGGACGGAGTCGGATTTATGACGGATGCTGATAAACATCAGCTTATATATTTGGAAGGCTCCAGACCAATGGTGAAGGATGAGAAGGAGATTGATGATGTTGAAAAAATAACTAAAAATTTAAAGAATATATTTTCGAAAATTGTGAAAGAAAGAGTCAAAAGTAGACAACGATTACCGAAAAAGCTGTATATTTTCGGTGGTCAGAGTTTTCGTCTCCGGATATCTTTATATTTTCTTGACTATTGTGGTATGTATTATTCTTTCTATCGAAATATTTTCACTGTAAGAAGGTACTAATTATCTGTTACTAAATATTTAATTCAGGAACATAAAGACTAAATGAGGTCGATAATGCTAATCTTCCTCGGAAATTTTCTGAAATGAAATCTTTAGTTTATTTCTATGAATCTATATTAAAATGGGCAGTATGTGCTAATGTGGATTTATTATGAAATTTACGAAATTAAACTTCTATCTAATCCTTATTTATAATTTTAGTTACTGGTACGTGATGTTACAGCATCTTTTGATAATGCAAGAGCTGAGCAAAGACCATCACGACTTTCATTTGCAGATGCTCTTCTTCGACTGGGCGACTGATCTTTTGGGTGCAAAATGGTTGCAATAGTTGGCATTCTGTACTGATGTGAAAATTTGATATAATAAATTTTTTTCATACACTGTAACAGCGTATTCTAGATTTCGTTTCTTTTTCATATTACGTAATATGTAGCTTAGCGTAGTCTCGATACAAATAGAGCGGGCTATAAGTATATAACTGTTAGCAATAATTTTCTCACAACTTCCATCAAAATCACGACGTACAAATAAGTGGTTTCTCTCTCTCTCTCCGTTGGTACTGCATGTTGGATTTTACACCGGGAGGTCGGGTACCGATTACGTTTATGATAGTAGTTAGCAGGTAGCAGTATATTCATTAATGTTTTTGCTATACAAACTGATCCTGAATTAAAGAATTACGGCTAAGGTTTGGCCCACTCATGCATTCAAATGTTTGTCATACAAAAATATATAAACAATAATCATTATATTAGTATTGCTGTAATTTAATACAATGACATTAGACTTAATATTAATTAAGGTAACCACTATCATAATAACGTAAATGTATACTGAATAAAATATATTGTTGATTGATAATGTCAAGTCTGCTTCGACGAAACTGGCAGGCACTAATAAATTCCAACATCCGCTCGACAAAATGATTCCCACTTATGGTGATGACTTGCACTATGTGTGCATCTTATCGGAAAATCGTGAATATTATGTTTCGCAGTCACTGATGGCTGAATAAAGGTGTCCCTCTACAATCACTTATTCTATTAATATAGCACGTTACAATCACGCCTTTTACAGATTTATATAGTAAAGCTGATTATAAATTATTTCATCATTGGACATTTTAATTTGTCAAAGTTGAAACAGAACATCCAATCAATCGCCTTACTCAATAACATGTGAATGTGACCTCATTATCTGGATGAATTATGCGGTTTGACGATAAGAGATGAGGTGATTGTAAAGTAATTTTTTGTACTAAATCAAAAAAGTGTCAGATGACATAATTAACTCCTATTTTTCTTAATTCTAAACAAAATAATTAAAAGAACAATAATATTCCACAGCCAACTATCCAATAAACTTTTCTTTCTTATTTTTGTTAAGTTGGTTTTCTAACTATTTCAGTAACAAGCCTCTGGATCTTTTAGTTCTTCGGCAAGTCATTAATTTTCCATAGTACATCAAATTGGTTGTTTTTTAATAGGTCTATAATGTCTTCAATATTTTACAATTTGGTTTTAGGAAACACATGATCACGAATTCAGATTCATTATAATTATTGGCATAAGAGGGAACATCACCTTCCCATTTTCCCTTTTAAGAAATTTACAAGTTTTTCTTCAAATTTTTGCATTGTTTTTGTGAATTGGTTTCAAGTTTCTTGATTATGTACTAAAATTTGTGTCATTCTCAAAGATCTTGATAAAGATAAACTTCTTGAATATATTTCTTCTTCAGCTTGTAGTTGAAGTGATCCAGATAAAATTAAGTTTAAAAAAACATTTGGTCAAGTTGTAGATTGAAAAATGGGAAATTTAAAAGTGGTGGTAGTAATTCAATGGGTTATTTTGGTGATTCAGGAGTAGGAGGACGTTTTGCATCTGTTGAAACTTGTTCTACTCATAAAATTGATAAGACAATCGAATAAAGTAAGGAAAATGTTAAAAAAGAGATTAGATGTTTTAGTAATATACTTTATGTAATGCATGCTCTCTTTCCCAAAGATAGTAATTATAAAGACAGTTTCTTTCTTAAAAGTTGGTCAAAAGACTTGTTTACAGTTTAATGATCCTAGTAAGGGTTAGATAAACTTTATATTTATACTATCTATTTATATTGAAGGGGAGTTGATGCTAGTATTATTGAAAAAAATTATTTTGTTGAGAGTGGAAGTGAGTAATATAATAGTGGACTTTTTAGGTACAATTCCGGTGCATTTCAGTGTAATTTTTGAAAACACTATTCATTCTATAGTTTTCCGAGGTTTTACTGCATTCCCGGTAAACTCATATATCACATATAAATGGTGTATTTTTTCTATATATTAGACCTTAGTGAAATTTTTGATATCTGATTGATTACTATTTGGCTTTCTGTCACTGTAGAGCATACACCTTTAGGGGTGTGCGATACAGATGCGAAGCGTAGCGGAGCATAGTTATCTTATTTGATTGCTAATTAGCATTCTATCACTGTGAGCATAAACCTTTAGGTGAATGCGGAATATGAATGGTTTATTTTTTGATATCCTATTTTGATTACTATTTAGCTTTCTATTACTGTGAGCACATCCTCTCTATTTGATGATTAAAACTTATTGCGACGTTAAAAATCAATAACGATTTATTCATGTTTGTGTTGATATCCTATTTGATTACTAATTAGTTTTGTGTTACTATAAGCACATACTCTCTATTAAAACTTATTTGTTAGCTAATTAGCATTCTATTACTGTGAACATGAACTTTAAGTGAGCGCGAAACAGATGCGAAGCGTAGCGGAGCATAATTATCTATTTAGTTAACAATTAGCTTTCTAATGGTAAAAAAGATAGTAAAAAAGAAAATAAAAATTTAGGTACACGACAGG